AGATGGGAGTCTTACCCACTGCGCCACCAGGAAGTCCTGGCTGTATTTTTTTAACACCCCTTATTTACTAACAAAATAATCTGTCCTGTAGCCTCTCACTTTCAAAAACTGAATAACGGCTACCTCATGGTCCGTCAACGTACTCCTCTATGCTCACAGATCTGTGATTCTGTTAGATGTGGGTTCAATTTTTATTCGGCAGACACAATTTTTACAGACAGCACTGTGTACTTTCTACTATCACGTTCACTGTAAAGCACCTAATGCCTGGCTGCTACACAGGCTGCTCTGATATACACCTCCAAGCAACTGGCTTAGGTTCCTAAAGCCAGAAAATTGTCTCCAGCCTTCACAGAACTTGGATTCAAAACTGAAATTCCTAACCACAACAGCAGATATAAACACACACATAAAAAAGCTCTACTTTGTAAAAATTGTGAATCACTGCTATACACCTGAAAATTACATAAATATTATAAACCAAGTATATCTCAATTAAAAACAAATCAAAAAGCTCTACTTTGTTTCTTTTGTGGGGAAGGAGTTTATCAGAGAAAAAGTGCTTTTGATACTAAAAATACTAAACACATTTAGACCTATTCCAATTCCCTTATTTTACAGATGACAAAACACAGGCTCAGAGAGAGTATGGAGGTTGCTAATGCCCACATAGTTGGACACAAGCAGAATTACAAGCAAAATGAACACCCCTAATAATGGTGATGATTTATTACAGCTAGCACTTATTAGATGCTCTGTACTTGACATTAAGCTAAACATCACACTAAATATTTATGAATCAGTTACTATTACTATTCCCATTTTGAGGATGAAGGAACAATGGCTTAGAGAGGCTGAGTTATTTACCCAAGACTGCACAGGAAGTTAGGAGCAAAGTTGGGACTCAAAATTACAGACTGTTTAATCCCACCCAGTCCACTTCTAGTGGTGAGGAAGGAAGGAGCCAGGGTCTGAAGTACCTCTGACACCATGAGGTCTTCATGCAGTGAAGACTGACGGACACCCTAGACCCCCATCAATGCCCCCCGAGTACACCAGTTGTGGGACTGGTGGGTGAAGGAAGATGGGCAAGGGCCCAGACACAGGAAGGAAATGGAGACTGGGAGTGGAGGTTTATTTGGGGCCAGTTCAGTGTGGCACAAGATTCCTGGGGTTGCCATGGGTTAGCTGGGATTATAATACTTTTTTATTTCAAGCCACCAGTCAGCTGTACTTCAAAGGGACACAGGAAAAAAAATGATACCCAGAATATAAATATGCAAGTCTCAGACCCTGACCCCAACTCTCCTTTAAAGAGAAAAGAAGAAAAAGATCACAGCAATGGTTCATTTTCTTACCACACAAAGTTAGAAGTGTAACACAATCCACCCACTTATTCCCTGCTAGGGGTGCTGGAAGTTTGTGGGGATAATGCACTCTCAAGTCTCTACCTTCTACATGTATACCAGCTACAGCAATTTTTAAAAAGCTTTTAACACAGCAAATGTTTAGTTCAGTTAGACTTGCCTTTGCCCACAGCCCTAAAGAGCACATGTACACTCTGCCAAAAGCTAATTTTTACGAAAGGCAGATAAATTATTACTTATTTTTAAGACATTTGTCATAACACATTCCAAAGTAAAAGTAGGCAAGTGTTTGGATCATCAACCTTTAAGATTATCCAGTCTATGTCCTTCATGTCTGTGGAGAAGCAAAGGTCTACTTTTAAGGAGACAGATCCCATGTATTTCAGGGACTACTGATAAAATACCAGAAAAGGAAAATACACCATTCTCCAACCTCCTCAGTTTTACAGGTGGAGAAAACGGAGACCAAGAACAAGTCCCAGGAAAACCCAAAGATTCAGTCTCCCAGACACAGTATAAGAGCAAACACATGTAAGGCACCAGACTAAATACTTTATACGTGCCATCACAGTGAATGCTCACAATGCTCCCTTGAGGCAGATAAATAATTTTATTTCTAGAATATAATGAGGAGGCTGAGGCACAGAATGGTTGAGTATCTTGTCCAATGAAGCACAGCTAAGCAACTGGCTGAGCTGGCATTTGAACCCAAGCAGTTTTGACACCAGAACCTTTTCTATCTTCTTCATTAAAAAAAAAAAAAAAAATTATTTGGCTGTGCTAAGTCAGTTGCAGCACACAGGATCTTCGCTGCAGCACATGGGATCTAGTTCCCTGACCAGGGATTGAACCTGGGGCCCCTCCACTGAGAGTGGGGAGTCTTAACCATCATGGAAGTCCCTCATTTCTTCTTGTAAATGAGACATCCTGCCTCTCTCATACTTAAAGAGTTGTGGCTAGGATAAGGAATAGAAATTTTAATGTTTTCAAAACATTCTAGGGGAGGGAAATACAAAAAGCCAAAATGCAAATCCCAAGACTTTAAACCACTAAGACAGACACTTAAACCAGAACAGAGAACCCCACAAGAAAGGGGAGATATCACAAAACATCTTTTATTACTAGTTACTGCCTGTGTCTCTTAAAGAACTAAAATACTAGCATCTGAGCCAAAAGGAGAGCTAAAAATAGGCGTTTGCAGCAAGCTTTGGAAAGCTTTTGGCTTACTTAGGAGGCACCAAAAACATATGTATCACAGAACACAAAATTTCCCAAGACCACACTGCCACTCCACTGGTGTAACATTTAAACTTGTCCAAATAAAATCAGAGCTGGAAAAGGACCTTAGTGATCCATGTAAATTTCAAAGAAAGGGCCACTATCTACCCTGACCACAAAATTCTCCTTCAAAAAGCATCCAAGCCCTAACAACAGGCTTAAACAGAGACGCTACTCGATTAATTCAGACTTTGTCTGTCGACGACTATTCTGAAGGTTTAAAACTAATGAGCAGACAAGACACTTTCTTGCCTAACAAGAACAGAGTAAGTCTACCGGACTTAGAATTTTGCTTTGGGCACTTAAAGCAAGTTGGCTTTTCCACTCAGAGGTAAAGGCGAGATGCCAGCCAAGCTGTCTTCTTCCCACGATCAATAACCCCGGTGACGCACCCTACCAAAGGCCCCTAGACTTGCACAAAATGCCAGCTCAGGCATCCAACACCACCTGATGTCATGGCTGATTTAAAACCCACAAGGCAGGTTCACCATTAGCAGAGCAGCAGCAGCCAGAGTGAGTAGCCCCATTTAAACTTCTGAGGAGTGCCCTCTCCTGCGGATGATTATACCCCTCTGAGTTTAAAGAGGGGGGAAGGACCAAAGAGTGTCTTCAAATTGCTTTTCCTCCTTCCGTGGGTGGATCAGGAGGGATTTGCAAGAAAATGGAGATTTCAGCACTGCCCTTTGCATAAGAGGGTTCTGGAAGGAAAAGGGGGGGAAGGGAAGGAGGGCAAAAGGAAGAGAACACGGTTTGAGGTACTATTAGTAAACGCCAAAGGTCCCCTCCCCCAAATGAAGCAATGTTAAAAAGAAATAAAAATTACAACATGCCATTTTCAGAATTCGGTGTTCTGGTTTCCCTGGGACTACGAGGGATTCTATTCCCTTGAATGTGAAGGCATTAAGCTGCCCTTTCAACTTTCCCCATTTTGATGGTTTAAACCAGTCAGTCTCAAGCAGAAGGGGAGGAGTTCTGAAAAAGCCGTAGGGCTCTGACCACAGGCCATCGTAGTAGCTCCAATTGGGTTTTAATACCGGCTCACTGCAAGAAGATCCTGAACCTAAGAATCCAGCCCCAGGATGTCTCTACGGGCCGGCAAAAGGAGCAGGCGGGAGCGCCCCCCACCAAAGCCGACGATCTATTTTCGGCAAAGGAAGACCTGGCGGAGACTCTGTATTCCGCACCCCTCTCCCCCCAATAACGAGGCTCTGCAGGGACTTCCCGCACGCCGACCTCCCCCGAGGGGCCGTGTCCGAAAGGACCCAAAGAAGTCGAGGAGGGAGAGGGAGGGCGCGCCGCTCGGCGGTCACATGCCGCCAGCCGCGCGGGGAGGCACCACGTTGTCCCGGCTGCGGAGGAATGCCGGGAAGGGGGTACGCGCCCTCACACCCGCGCACACGCACACACCCGGCCGCGCCGCCCGCACCCGCCTTCCGCCCCGAGCGCCGCGGCGGCCGCCGAACGCCCAGGCCGAGCGGCCGCGAGCAGCCCGCGGGCCGGCGGCGCAGCGCATGGCGCCCAACTGTCACCCGCCCGTCCGGCCTGGCCCGGCCACTCCCTCCCCCGCCGCCACACGCCCCTCGCGTCGCCGCATGCCCCCTTACTCGCCTCACATTTCCCCTCACTGGACGCCCCGCACACTCGCCATCCGGCTCCCTCTCAAGGCGGAAGGTCCCCGGGATCAGGCGAGGGAAAGCACCGAATTCAATGACACGTTGGGTTTCCTCTTCTCCCCATTCTCCCCGTAACCGACCCCTCGAGCCGTCGCCCACGGCCATTCTACCGTCTAACACCATCTACTCCAGAACAAACTTGTTAACTTTTAAATCCCGAATCCGTGTGGTCGGTAGGCACTCATCGCCGGGCGTTTTGCTGCCTATGACATATACTCATTAAACATTTACAACACGGGGACGATAGCAACGCTACCAAAACGAGGAACACGGGGCGGGGGGGTGGAGGGGGCTTCCCGAGGAAGGTTCAGGCAAGAAACCGTCTCTCACACCGACACGCGGTGGGGGGGTGGGGGGGGGGCCTTTCACCGAAACCAGCGCCCACCCCTCTCCCCGCGAGATAGGCCGGGACCACGCCGTTGCCCACTAACCGCTGCGGCCCAGGCTGTGGCCGTAGCCTCCGGGAGGCCGGGCCCTCCGGCAGGGGCAGGTTCCCGAATGTGCTGGGGGAGGGGGGGGGCAGGGCAAGGCGACCTGAATTAGCCAGGAGATAATGAAAAAACAAACAAACCCGAGTCACCACGACCAGTGGCGGACCCCCGGGCCCTGGAGGCCGCTGGGGGAGGGGACGCCTATGTCCCCGGAAGAGGCCCCAGTCCCGGAGTACCAAATGGAGACCCACCTGGAGGAGACTGTCCGTTCACGGTGGCCAGGACCGGCGGCAGCGCGTTCTTAGTCCACGGGTTCACCTTGGGCGGAGGGGCCTCCACGAAGTCTCGGCGCCCGGCGCCTGCGGCTCCGGCAGCTCCTCCGCCAGCGCCCGGCTCGCCGCCGCCGCCCTCCTCCCCGTCGCTGACGGCCAGGCCCTCGGCGCCGGGCGGCTGCGGCGGCCGCGGGCTCTCGCGCTCCAGCTGCCCGGTGCCTTCCTTGTGCGGCTTGGCGCAGGGCGGCCGAGGTCTTCGGGTGCCGCCGTCCGGCTCTCCGCCTCCGACGTCGTTCGCCCCCGGCTCGCCCTTGCCCTCGGGCGGCGGCAGCGGCTTCTTCCTCACCAGACCCCCGTGATCTTCGGCCTGCAAGAGCGGGGCGCCCCCCGGCAGCAGCGGCTCCACCTGAGTGGCCATCTGCGCGCCCGCCCCCCCGGAGAAGCCGGGCGCGCCCGAGGCTGCCTCCCCCGCCTCGAACTTGGCTCTCAGATCGCCCGCGACGCCTTCCTCCGGGGCGCTGGGCCCCAGTCCCGGCGGAGAAGGGTCGGGGTTCACGCTAGGCGCGGCCCCCCCTCCCGGTCGGATGCAGCCGCCGTAGATCCAAGGCCCGCTGGCGGGGCGGGGGGGGGGGGGAGGAAGGCCCCCCACTCTGCGGTCCAGGCCTCCTCGGCGCGCGTCCCCCCCCGCCCGTTCCTCGCAAGGAGCCCCCACCCCGAGCCTGGCAGGCTTCTCGTCCCGTCCCTCCCTCCCCCCCGCCCCCGGGGCGGCCCGGGCTTCCCGGCACGGGGGCTGCAGCAATATGGACGGACGGGGGAGAGGCGCGGCGAGCCGAGCTGACCACGCGATCCGCGGCAGGCGGCGGGCGGGCGCGCGCCTCGCGACGCAGCGAGCAGGGGAGGGGACGGCGCAACGGGGGCGCGCCCGCCGGGGCTGGCCCTGGGCGACGGGCGGGCGAAGGCGGCGGGAGCGCGCGCGCAGGGCCTCGCGGCCCCGCCCCTGGCCCCGCCCCTGGCCTCCAATTCCTCGGCGCACCTCCGGGGCTAGTGGGTGAGGGGTACTCAAACCGGACGGGGGCGAGCACGTGCCTGATGCAATTCGGAAGCGGGGGGGGGGGGGGGGGGGCGGTCAGAGAGCCGGGTTGGAGAGACCGGGTGGTATAAAGAGGGGGAACTGTCTTAAAGAGCCAGTTCGTGAGAGTGTTCGCAGGTGGAGCACATGGGACCACGCCACGCGGCCGGCGGGGCCTGCTGGCGCTCTTTAGGTTGGGTGCGCCAGAATCCCGGGAAGGAGCCATTAATATCACCCTGAGCTTACAGGATGATGGGGTGGGGGTGCTGTCGCCTCACTTGCGTCCCATAGGCCTGGCCCCTCCAGGCCCCGCCTGGGTGACCTTGGGTGAGCCGGCCTCACCTCCGTGGACTGTGCTCGACTCCTCCCAGGCTGCACCGGCCAGGTCACTGTCCCAAGTTGGGTTCGACACCCGGCCTAGAAGACGAGTCTTTAACCCTTGGGGGCATCTGGCGTCTAGGAAGTGAGCGGGGAATTACCAACAGTCCCCAAACCCGGCCAAGCCCTGAAACCGAGTATTTATGGGCGAGAATGTCTTTTTTTTCCCCCCCCTCAAATGGATTTCCGTTTTTATAAGAATTGCCTGGGGCGAAGACGAACCAACGCCAAATTGAGAATCTGGAGATCTGAGATTGTATCCTGACCCTGGTCCTGCCCCTTACCAACTCTGCATTAGTTGGGTCTCAGTTTCCCTATTGTAAAATGAAGACAGTGGTTTCAAATTTTAGTGCACGTTCAATTAAATATTTACGGTGGGGGTTTTCTAGGAACAAGGTTTGGAAATAAAGCTTACAAGGACCTCATGGAATTTACATTCTAAGGTAGAGAAAGAGAAAGTAAAACAAACTTATGAACACGAGCTTGTCTCATATCTGTGAAGACAGTAACTACTACGGTAATAGGTCACTAGATCAGTTCCTTTAGTTTGGATGATGAAGGAAAACCTTGGATGCAGATTCCAAAGTATTTGGAATCAGGCATGTCTGGGGTCTGACCCAGAAACTGCATGTCAGGCAAGAACCCTTTTGGGGCTTGTGGTCCCACACCTCACTTGGAGAAGTCCTGACCTCTGGCTGGCTATGATATTACCTGCTCAAGACGTAACAGCCAAGACTGTTAGCCATCTCCAAAAGAATCAGAACACATGACCTGCTGGACAGAGGAGAAGGCTTACTGAAAATCAGCCTTTTGAAACTGCCCTCAAGGGGTGAGGCTAGTTGTAGGGTTGTTTGTAAGCAGGACCACTGGGGAGAGGTGCTGGTGGGGACCACCAGACAATCTGACATGTGGTCCCAACTCTTCCATAACCTAGTGCCCACACCTTGGCCAGCTCTCAGCACTTCACTGGACCTCTCTTCCCTGGTAGACAAATGGGGGTAAATTATGCTTGACTTGCTTCTAACCTCTCAGCTTTTGTGAAGAGTCAAGTGAGACAATGTCAGGCAAAGTGCTATGTAAATTATAGAGACTGAGGCCAGTGCTTCAAAAGAGACACAAGGAAGATAATGATTAAAGGGATCTTGATGAATTAAAACAGATTCTTTGTTGTTACATTATATATATCCTTAATCAGAAGGTAAATTATTGTACACTGTCACTAGCATTTACTATTTTTTATTTTATTTTTTAATTAATTTTATTTATTTCCTGAAGACGATTCACATTAGACTATCTCTGAACTTTTTAGAAGAGGACATAATGGTCCTTGGTGGTCATTCTTTTCTATATTCCTGTAGTTGGGGGTAGAGGGTATGCTTTGTGAAGGGAGAAGGGCTCTATGTGGACAAGTAACTTGTTCATGTTACCCAGCATCAGTCTGAGCTGAACAAGCAGCACCAGGCCCTGTATGGAGGCCGGAGCAGCACTGAGATCTGCACGCCCTAGGCATGCTGTGCCCCAGAGAGGTGCTTCTAACACCCATAGGCCATTTTACAGATGGGCAAACTGGGACCACAGAAGGAAGATAAGACAAGGTAACCGGCATGAGACCACATCTTTCACTGAGGCTATTAAATTGGAAAAAGAAATTTTAATGATTAGTCAGTCCCCTTGTTTTTCACGAAACTGAAGTTCAGAGAAGTCAGGTTACTTAACCAGAGTCACACAGCTAGTCCATGGCAGAGTCAGGTCTCACACCTGAATCTTCTGATCCTAAATGCAGTAGCTTTTTCTATTGGAAATGATGGAATTGCAATTTGAATTCAGTTTTTGTTTTTTTAGATTCCTGAACTACTATGGAATTCTATATGCACGTGTTCATTTTTAAATATTGATCAAATAGTTCAGAGTAGCTACTTTTATTAAGTAATTACTATATGCTAGGTTCTATGAGAAATATTAATACTTGACATCATCTCATTTCATTCTCACAATAACCTAGTGAGTTAGATACTAGCTTTTCCCACAAATACCTACTGTGTTCTACTATGTGCCAGGCACTAGGCTAGGTCTCGAAGCTATTATTTTCATTTACAAATGGAAGCAATTGAAGTTCAGAAAAAGAAAGTCAGCTGGCTGCCTAGGGTCTCAGGCAGCAGCTAATCCCCAGGCCTGTTTTATCCCCCGCGCTTCGCTGTGAGCCTGCCTCCTTTCTCTCCATGGCCATATCGATGGCATTTGTGGAGCACTCATCAAATACACTGGACTGGGGAAGATATTAAAAAAAGCTGAACACTGTCTCTCCAAAAGGTAAACTCTAATTGGAGGGACCAAGGAGTTAAGCAATAAGTGATCTCAGGCAAAAAAAAAGAAGTTAAACAAGATATGCTTTAGGCAGAAAACAATAAGGATCAAACTAACTTGTGCTTTGCCCACAGCTTGAACACATCATAGTCTTGAAACTCACAGACACACAGAGAGAGAAAATCAAACTTTAAAATATTAAAATAATAAAGTGGGTCCAAACACCTATTTATAATTATGTGTTTGTTTGCCTCCTGGTCCTGACAGCTTCCTAAAAGAGAGACAGGAGGCTGAAGCAGGTACTAGAGACAGCAGACCTGGGCCCATCCCCGGCTTTGCTGAGCGAATTGGAGCAGCCTCCTGAGCCTTCCTGGGCTTCCATTTCTCTGTTCACAAAGTGGGAAGCATAATACCTGCATCAGGCTCACGGGTAGGAAGAAAGATACAAGTTCCCTGAATCTATTTTTTGGAGGGGAACGTAGGTAAAAGAGAGGTGGTTCCTTTATCTGGGCTTGGATATTCCATTTTATTCCTCTTTGAGTTTAATTTTCCAGAGGGCCTTTTGCTTCTGAAAGAACTTGGGCTTTATCACTTATCTTCTTCTGATACCAGGGGCTCCTAGGCTTGAGGCCTCTTTATACCAACACGGAAGAGTAGCTGGGGTTAGCAAGGGAGGGGCATTGGCCAGACAGTATTAGCTAGGGAATGTTTTCCAAAACCTGAAGACTCTTGGACCTTCTGGCACATGCCAAGAAATATCTCCTCTTGTCAACTAGATACAAATAGCAACAGTTACAGCGTAAAGGGGAATAAGGAGAAGGGGAGGGTACTGACTGTTCCCATGTCTGCGTATTCAGTCGCTAAGTCGTGTCTGATTCTTTGCAACCTCATGGACTGTAGCCCACCAGGCTCCTCTGACCATGGAATTCTCCAGGCAAGAATACTGGAGTGGGTTCCCATTTTCTCCTCCAAGAGATCCTCCCGGCCTAGGGATCAAACCTGCATCTCCTGCATTGCAGGCAGATTCTGTGCCACTGAGTCACCTGGGAAATCTGACCGTTTCCATAATAACATGGCTAACCCTCAGGGTTTCTGTAAGTATGATTACCCCCATTTTACAGATGAGGAACTAGGCTCAGAGGCTGCCCAAGCTACCCCATGAGGTTAGTAAAAGATGGAGAATAGATTTGTAAAGGTCTGATAGAAAATCAACTTTCTTTCAATGCATTCCCCACTCTGAGTTGAGACAGGCAGCATCCCATGACCTCTTTCTAATTATCCTACCAACACAGCTGCTTCCTCCATTCCCACTTCTCTCCCTGGTGTTCCTGAACTTTCTCAAGTGGTCTCCTGCGGGGTTTCCCCACCAACTAACTGTTCTCCTCCCTGTCGTGCAGCCTGAGCCAGTTCTCTGGTTCTTTGATTGATAGGCCCTGCCTCTGCTTAAAATCTTGGCATGCACATGCCTGCCTGTCCTACTGCTTTCAGCCACACAGCCTACATGCCAGCAACAGTCGACCACTCACTGATTCTTTTATCCTTTCATTCAACCAATATTTACTAAGCATCTGCAATGTGCTAATTACTGTCTAGACCCTGAACACGGAAAGGTGAGCAAGACACACAAGGTCCATGTCTTCAAAAAGCTCCTGTCTAATTCCCTGTGG